CCCTATAAATTCTTTTATTGAGAGGCTCAAACAGAGTCAAAGAAAATTTAAATTTAAATGTATTTCTCTTTTTATTCGAATTAAACCATAGGAATTATTTTATATTTTATTATTTATTAACGACTGATCTACTTTGCAGAATATTTTTCATATTTCAATTATTTTTCATAGCATTATTTGCAGTAGATTATATTATTTATGAATCAACTTTTTTTTCACTGTAATTTTAGTGTGAATTTGCGGAAGTCAAGAAACTCTTCACTTTTAAATATTTGCATATATTTTATGCATTATGCTTAATACTCATTCCATTCATACCCATTCACAGAATTTTGGTGAAGAGCATTAAAAGCCACAAAACTCTTTCCGTTATGTTGCAAATGCAGTAAACTGCATGAAACAAATGAAACACATATGTGGTAAAGTAAAGCTGGAGTTGATGTTAGTTGGCCTGATGCTTCCAATTCAATGAATAGCAAATTAAAACTAAAATGCATTTGATGCGGGTTTCCTATTTTCCCATTTTATTTGTATTTGGCCCACAATTCTGCGTAAATTGAGTGTGAGCTCTGTGTAAATGGGATTATTGTTCTATTTGCTCAGCTGAACAATGGAAAAGTCAAACAGTACAGAGTATTTCAATCAAGCGCAATTATAAATTGTTCAAGTATGCATAAAATACTTGTGAAATTCTTAATTTGTGAAACACAAATGTGAAATATTGATGCACGTTATTACAGTATATGATTTAATTTTACATTATTTTTATGCAAAACATTTTCAGAACAAATGTCGTTATTATGTTAAAATTTATACTAAAAATTATATTTTACAAAAATAAAAATTTTAGTTCCATTTAATCATAGATAGAAGTATGCTTAGTGCCCGATTCAATATACCCGCAGATGATTTCCCCAATAAATCCATGCCGTTCATTATTCTATCCCATAGATAATATAACATTTCATGGCAGTGTAGACTCCAAAAATTAGACATAAATATTATTTTTATTGAAATACATATATATTTCGTATTTATACTACATATCATATGAATCTGACAATTCACTTGTTCAGCTGCATAAAGAAACTGTGAGCTCCAATATATTCTTGTGTTATATAGTATATGCTATTAAATAAATTTGCATATTTGTTCCTCTGTCGAACATATTTCTCAGTCGAGTCCATTGTAGTCTTAACAATTTTCACTTGCAGTTGATGCTTCAATATATAATTTTGAAAAAAAAAGATACACGAAATTCCGATAACACTGGGACACAATGAAGAATGCAAATTGGATGTCTGCAAATTGGTTTTTGCGCCATTTTAGTTACCTATCTACGGCAATGCCTGAGCTGTGCGCAGCTGGCATGCAGGGCGTATGCGCAATGTCGCTTTAAGCGCATGCTGCCCTTAAAGTATTCAAAGCATGCAAAAACATTTGTCGGAGAATTCATTTCCAATCCCAAGGCGAATTCCACATTTTGCGAGCTTTGCAGCCCGCCCATTCGAGCTGAGCGCCAAAATGCAATTTTATTCGTGTCGCTGATTTAGGGCGCGGTCGATGCTCACGGGCCCTGCTGTTTGCTTTTACCGTTGTAGTTGTAGGCGTGCGCCATTGGACACGCGCTGCATAAATATTGGTCCGGGCATAAGAATCACAGTTAATTGCACGCTTTGTTACCTTGTTGCTCAACACTGTTGACTTAATGGACATGTTTCGTATACTCTGCGTGCTCGTTCGCAACTCACACAAAGAGCACATTAGATCTATATGGCATGCTGAATGGACAAAATGTTGATATGTTTTCGTTTCGTGAAAAGCTGAATCTATTACCTAGTCTGCAACATTTTCATTTAATCAGTTCAGTTCAGCTCCCCTTGCTCTTGCTCCACATGCGTTGCATACTTTCGAGCGCCATGTGAACTTGGCTTGCAACATTTAGTGTTAACGACAAGCGTTTTGTATTGCCAATTAAAAAACTCTTCTATTCGCAATATTATTTCGCCAGTCCACCCGCCTGGTCGACCAGACTGTCTCGATGCTTAGACACTGAGCTCGCCGCTCTGCAAAAAAAAAAAAAAAAAAAAAAAAACTCTGCTAGCGCAGTTGTGCTTGTGGCTTAATGTTCGCCCATGTGTGGGCGTTGCATGCACTTAAATAGCTACACAGTCATGAGCTTAGTTTAGTGCAGTTTACTTTTATTTGCCGTTAAACTGATTTATAGTAAGGTCTGCGGCAGATAGAGCAGACTTTTAAAGTCTTATATAATTGAAATATATCCATTAAAGATCTATATAGACGACTTGCACCTGAGCTTTAAAGTAGAAGAAGGCCATGTATTCACTCAACAAAATGTTTTCAATATAAATAAGTTTAATTCCCTTTTTCAAAGATGCTATCATTACATTTTGTGGCAATTCCTAGAAAAAATGAAATATTTAAACGGTGACTTAATTTTTATGCAGAGTAGGCAAAATGTGCAATTCTCGCACAACACACAAAAAGTTCTCTGGCTGAAAATGTGGGCCATTAGGCTTAGGCCAGCTTAAATTCTGCTGAACGTACTAACACAGTTCATTTTTGTTGATTTTCGCCAATGTGCAGAAAATGTGAGCAAACATAATCAAAGACATAAACAGAAAATAGATCAGAATCGAGGAAAAGAATGCTCTCTCTCTCTCTCCTCCTCTCTTTCTCTTTAGTATTCCCTTAGATAGAGTGGTTTCAACTTAATCTCATTATTTTTAGCTTCAACATTATTTTAAAGCTAATAATCTCCAGCTTAGTCATTTTATTAGTTGGCGACAATTTCTAAATAACTCGCACTGTGTTTATGGACTGGCTTACTTTGAAGTGTGTTTGGGGCTGCATTTAATGTGCATTTGCATATTTTTTAATAACTCTGCTGGCTGTCTTACATTCGCTGCTGTGTACAGCATTTCCATAAACTGGACGGAACTCAACAGCTGACGCCAAACGCAGCCCATAAAAAGCAGACAGCTGCCAGGCTAAGCAAGGTTTTTGTTTATGATTGTGCAGCTTTTATGTTAACTCAACAAAAAAGCAAAGGAAAAACGAAAAAGAAGGAGAAAACTCAAAGCCAACAGCGATCAGCAAACGTGTCACCAATCGGCTGTAGGCAACAACAAAGGCAGAGGCAGGGGCAGGGGCAGGTGCAGTGGCAGAGAGGAGGAGGCAGAGGCAGAGACACGTGCTACACCGTGAAGCCATCTGAAATATGTGCATTTCCCGCAGTGGCATACAGCGCTGCATTGGGCTCAGCTGTGCTTTCCTGTCATTCTCTGAACTGAGTGATTTAAATGCACGGGCGACTAACGGCCATTGGCATTCAAAAGAATCTGAAATTATGATGCTTTAACATTGTGAAATATTGTTGCTCGATGCGATGGGAGCACATTGCAGATCCATTAACATCTCCGTCCACATGCCCATCCACATCCACGTCTCCATCACCACATCTGCATGTCCGAGTTCATTTCCATTTCCATACGCAGACCCATTTATCTCAGCTTGACTGTCTCATTGGGTGATTTGCATGGAAATGATATGCAATTCAGCTTTTGCCATTGCCAGGGTCTTTTGTCTGTCTGCTTTGTTTGGCTTGGCTCTCCCAGATGCTATTTATCTGGCAACTTTTTGGCTTTTGTCTAAGCTGCAACGCTCGGTTGCATTTCTCTGTGCACGTTCACTCAGCTCATTTAAAATCCATTGCTCAGATTAAGCACTGTCGTACTTGTCAGAAGCTCTGTCCTAATTTGTCATCGCATTTCGCAAACTTTAATTTTTCATTAATAATTTTCCAGACATTTCAGCAACTTTGCAATCTCTTGGCAGTCAATCTTTCAAACTTGCGCTCATTAAGCATAAAGTAAGCAAGAGGCTAAAGCTAAGCAGATACTCTACAGCTATCGGGGCTTGCCCTTAAGTGTTAAATATATACAGAAATCGAAATTCAGATAATGCATACATACTAGCATATATGATTTTTTGACTCTATGTCCGTTGGTAACTATGAAATGCTTCGAAATTGCGTACTACAATTTACGAACTATGTCATGCACTTTAAATGAAGTGCAAATAGTAGTAGTTGAAAAAGAAAACAACAACGGCAAGGGCAACGGCAACGGCAAATTCTCTTAGAGCTGCTACAAAAACTAATTCCGACTTTTATCAAGTATTTTGCTGCAACATATTTGGGGTTAGACTCCCACTTGTTCTGGCCACTTAGTAGCTGCCTCAACTTTAGTCTCTTTGCTATTTCCATTATGTATTCAGCTGCGCCCGGGGCCGCCTTTCAGTTTCAACTTCACCGAGCTGCTGCTTCTGAAGGACCTGCTCAGAAAAATGTAAAACTTCAGCATCCAAATGCCTGATGGTTAGTTGGTTAAGCATTTGCGTTCAGGTTGATTTTGGCTGCAGCTATGAGTGCAATCTCCGGTAAATGAACGCACGCCTCCAATGCGCTCAGCTGGAAGCTCAAATTGTTGTTCACTCACTTACGGGGAATTGTGAGCATTTGGAATGAATTAACCTCGAATTCCATGAAAAATGAAGCATTTGAATGCGAGTCGCATTGAGAGGCAGACCACTTATCGTGCTTAATGGAAATGTAATTGTGGCGTTAATTAAGACTCAAATGATTTTTAGGTAAGGATTACTGTTTCAAATCAGAGTGAAAGAATTTACTGACAGCTATCAATCTTATCCCGTTATAAATTCTTTGCAGTTCACATCTTTAAAATTACTTATCTTAAAAAAAATCACACGATTTTTCGTTAAAATTATAAACTCTTACATTCACCTTAATTTTATAAATATTTATAGCACAGTTTTTGGAGCAGAATGGGATTAAAAATCTCACTTCCGCTAAAATGTGATTTCTTATCCCCACCTACTTAAGAACTGCCTCTATTCCACACAGTTAGCTATTATTAATTGAACAATAGAAACAAAGATAGAAACTGTTGTATACATACTTTCATCTGAGGACAGGGCCAGAAGAGAGCGCTCTTATTGTAATCGTAAGCCAGTTGCTCCGCCAGCTGGTGACAGTGGGCCAAGCTGCTGGTATCCGAGTGCTGCTGCTGTTGCTGCTTCCCCTTCCCCTTCTCCCTCGCCCTCTCCTTCTGAGCTTTATCATTTTGTTGCTGTTTTTGATGTTTCTGCTGTTGTTCCTTTGGCCGCCCTGTGGGTGCTGATAAAGTGTCTGCTGACAACTGTTTCATTTGGGTACGCTGCTGACTTGGCTGCTTTGTTGGGTCAGCGCCATCGTCATCGCCATTGCCATCGAGGTCCACATCGGTGTCTATATTAATGCCCGCATTTAAAGTCTTTACAACGCTCGTGTATTTGGGTAGCTCCAGTAATTTAATGAAGCCACTTAAATCTACGCGTCAGCAACGCCATCATCGCCAAAGCAAGAAGTAAAAGAGAGGAAAGAAAGAAACATTTTATGTAGCATATAAAAATGGTTGCATATTTAAGTCCTCTGCGTGTATCCTCACTCTGTATGTGTGTGTGTGTATGCGTGTGTGTGCTTAAGAAGTGTAGTTACAGTAGCGGTTGATGAAGCGAGTCAAGCAAAAGCATTCTACGCAGTCTAACTGCAGCTCTATTCGAGTGAGTCTGATTTTCTGCAGCTCGCAACAGATGTGAGTTGGCGTAACTGTCATAATTTACATGATGTTACAGAATTCCATAAACTGCATGTATTTGAAAACTACGTATATATAGGGATCCTTTATAATAATGACACTCGATGTTTCAACCGACTTTTTTAAATAATAATTTGATTTTCATTCAAAACAATTTGGGAATAAAAACTGTGAATAGTTAACAGATCAAAATTTTAGTCATGCATTTATTATTTTTTATTTTATAAATATCACTATATATTTTTATTTGATTTATTATTTATTTTATTAAAACTTTTATAAATAAAATCAAGTCTTTTAAATATTAATTAGATGACAAATTGAGAAAATTTAAATAAAAAAAAAAATATATATATCTATATAACATAAAATAATTAATAGCACAAAAACAATTTAATATGCCATTTTTTTTATAATTAATAAGATGCTCATTAAATTTTATATTAATTATTATGAATATGTTATAAATTTAAAAATTTCAGTTTTGGCCACATAATTAAAATGCCTTTTGTTGGCTTGGTTTGCTTTGTTGTGTCAATTCTCAGCACAATTCATTATTTTATTTATTTCCGTACGCAAATATTACTTTTGTAATAAAAAGCGGAAATTGAAGTAGGCTAGGGCAGCTGATGAAGGAGGCTGCATGTTTAGCAAATTAAAGCACAGATGTCCAAGGCGGGCAAGTTGACTTTATTATTATACCCCTGGCAACGTGGCCACCTTTTAATTTGTCGCTTTTGCTGCACAAAAGGCAATCCATGGAAATACAATTTATACATTCGTCCGGCCTTCTGGGCCACCGCAAATGCTGAGAATCCTGGCCAAGTCGCGTGGGTATAAACTATGAATTCAGCTGGCCAGGCCAGGCCAGGCCAGACCAGGGAAATGCACGACAATAGGTTTTACTCTTGCTGTGCTCATGTGGCCGGGTCGTAAATTGAGGTAGATGCAGGAGAGAGAAACAGAGAGAGAGAAAGAGAGAGAGAGAGAGAATAGTGGGAGAACTTACTGCAACATATGCAACTAAAATCAATTTCAATATTTTGCAACATAAAACCTGGCACAATGTGGAAAGAAATTACGGAAAATAAAATTTATTTTGCATGTGGACAACTGCCCTCAGATAAACGATAAAAAGGGACAGAGTTACGAGCTTGGTTTATAAATTGAATTTCTTGCTTGTGCCTTTGTTTGGCTTTAATTAATTTACCTTTTCAAATTGAATTGCTACAATTTTAAGGTCAGCCCATCAGGCTCTTCCAAACTAGCGATGCTTAGTTTACATTAAATAAATCAAATCAAAACTTTTGCTGTAATTGGCAAAACTTTGGCGCCAAATAAGTGGCCAATGTGCAAGTTTTCCATCAGCCAGTCTGCGCGCTCTTCTTGCTCATGTGTAGTCCACCACGTTTACTTTTCAGCTAACAAAGAGAATGAAAACTGCAAAAATAAAAACAAATCGCCAGACGTAGTGAGAGACTAGCGGAGACTTGGGCAAAAACTTTGGTAGACCAACTGAGGCACTGTAAGACTAAGCAACTTGGACTCGGCTTGCCTCTCGGCTGAGTAAACCGCAGCTTATCGCGATTTGTGATAATTCATTAGCTGAATTTATCATTATGACACACAGAAATGCGCTTAAGTATTCAATTTGTCGAACTAAAAAGTTTTCATGCTTACGACGCACTTAGTAGCTATGAAGTATCGATTAGCTACAGTCTAAAATTAATTTTCTTTGCCTCGATATAGATATTTTATTATTTTTATATTATGAATTCATTCAGTTACATTTTTATTGCAGCTGTTCTATGAGCCATTAAAGTAAATTAAATTCCTGCACATAGCTTCTTTCACACATTTTCCAAACTATAGTTGGTTTGATTGTATTGAAAAGAAATATATATATGTATATGTACACACAAATACAAGTTTGGTCTTCCCAAACTCATAAGTTCAATATACGTCCAAAGAAATTACAACTTTTTTTTCTATAAAGCATTATTAACTACGTGATTTATCGGCTCGCAACTTTGGACAATGGCCGGAAGCTGCTTACTTTTTTTTTTGAGCTGCTTAAAAGTAGCTTTAAAATAAATCAATAATAACAACAAAAGACACAACTGCATCGATACTCTTTTCCAGCCTGCATTTTAAGGGAAGCAAATTGTAAAATAAACTTTAGATACATGTTTTTCCTAGCTCATTCAATTAAATTGCAATAAATTTGATTTGAAGTAAGACGGAAGCTTTATGGATTTATTATGGAATCAAAATTCTTTTGGTCAATTCAAAGAAAACTTGGCACATGCTTAAATTCTTAGAGTATTATTGCAAAAACACTGCAAAACTTAGAAGTTCAATGAAATTCAATTAGAAATTTCTGAAATATTTATCAACAACAAGGTATTGCTGAAGAAATTCAACTATTTCAATTTATTGCAGACTCAGAGCTGACATCCGTCTGTTATAGGCATTTGCAGAAAAAATGAAATCGCTTTTTATTCGTTTTCTATGAGCTTGGAGTATAAAAATTCTCATAAGTCAAATGCAGCTATAAAGATTTCAAGCGGAAATTGTAAGTTGTCAGTTGCCGGACAGAAATATTTATGACATCGATGGGCATATGGCAGGGGGCGGTGCGGGTGCAGGATACCAGTCCTTTGGCATGACATGCGCGCCTTAAGTCGAAGGCAACGCAATTAAGGTAGTAAGCACATAAGAAAACATAGAAAGAGAGAGAGAGAGAGAGAGAGAGAGAGAGAGAGAGAGATGAACAGCATCTGTGCTGTGCTACTTCTTGATGAATCGTGAACGCCAAAGGCATGAGACAAAAGACGTGGCCGGAAACTTGCACTCGTTGCGCTTTAATTAGTTTAAATAGCATGAACAGATTCACATTTATACTCGTTCACCAAACAGAAAGGGGCATATATGGCCTGAGTCAGACTCTGCTTACTTCGATTAGTAGAGCATCTCTCAGGATCGTGGCAAATCGAGCGAGTATTACCCAGTCAGTCATAGCCGACTGCCTAACAAAGTCTGCGCATAATGCATGCAAATTGAGTTTGCATTGAGGACAATATTTTACAATGATAAAAGACATTCTTATGCAGGAAATGCAGAGAGTCCTCGACATGCTTGTCGCGGATGAATCCTAGAAGATGCCCTCTTAACTGAGTTGCATCATGATAGCTGCAGAAAAAATGGAAACCTCTTGGCATTTACCATAACAAAGTTGCCTTTGATTAGCGAGCACTCTCCTCTAAGTACATCAAGCATCTTTACTATTCAATTAAATGTGCACAAGAAAAAGGACAGCTGACAATAAAATGAGGTTAATGCATAGTGCAATAAGAAAAACAATAAGCAATCGCTAGGCAAGACTGTTCGACTCAGAGATTCCCTGAATTCTTCGAGGAGCATACATTTCTTTTTTGATTTGGTTGGATTATAGCTAAAATCGAAATTCTCTAAAAAACATATGAATCCATATTCGACCTTAGCTTTAAGGAAGTAGGATATACAATTTTGTATATAACTTTATAACTGGTTTTCGATACGCTTGTTAATAGACATCAAATACATGGGAATAGTTATCGATTCGTTGCACCAACTGCGCTGTAGCAGAGCTGAGATATCAGTTCCTCAAAGGATTCTGAAGATCTCACAGTCGAACAAAGTCGACTGAAGCTTTCTTAGTAGTTTCTAAATATTTTTCTGGTCAACGCCAAATGAGAAAAACAAAAACAGAAGAAAATGAGAAAGAACAACAATAATCAAAACAAAATGACTAAAAAAAAAGAATAAATCGCATTGGTTTATATATGTATTGCTGTTACTCTGCATGTGACTGTGTTTGGGTGTGTGTGTGAGTTTTTTTTTTGGTGTTAGTGTTGATTTTGCTAGCTGAAGTTGTTTACTCACCGACATCGTGTATAAAATCGACGCTGGCGTTAGATAAATGTACTTGAAAAAACTCAACGAAATGCTGGAAGCCCTGTTGCACTTGCATCATATCAATGTGCAGTGACGAAGGTATTAAAACGGCTACACGCTGAGCTGCGACAGCTGCAGCTGTTGTTGTTTGTTGTTTTTGATGTTGGCGACGTTGGCGTTGTTGTAGTTGTTGTTGTTGTTGTTGTTGTTCCAGTTCTTGTTGCTGTTGCTCTCGTGGATGTTGCAGTTGCTGTTGCGTTGCGGTATCTTGCTGTTGACGTGCTTGACGTACCAATTCTTGCACATTGCTTTTTTGTTGTTGTTGTTGTTGTTGTTGTAGTTGTCTTTGCTGTTGTGTTGTTGTTGCTGTCGCTGATGCTGTTGAGGTTCTCAAAAATGGATTGGTGCTAAGTGTTGTTGTTGCTGCTGTTGTCCGCCTCGCTGTCGCTCTCGCTGTTGTCGCTGTTGTTGTCGCTGTCGTTGCCGTGGACGTAACCGCAGTTGTTGCAGTCGCATTTGCCAATGTCTTGGGCACATTGCCAGCTGGCGTTGTGGTCGGTGGGGCAAGATTTTGGCCTGATGAAAAGACGTTGCTGTTGCTGGCGCCAGAGGTGTTATTCAAGGTAGTTGAGGTGGAGGAGGCGTGATGGGAATTAAGAAAGAAGAAGGCTGTCAACAGCAGAAATAATTTAGCAATTTGACAGATTGTTAACTTCATTTATGTTGTGTATTTTGTTTGTTGCTGTGGTTGTTTTTTCTTGTTCTTGTTGTTGTACTTGTAGTTGTCGCTGTACTTTTTGTTGTATTCACTATTATGGTGTCTTTAACTTTGCTACTGCAGAGCTCACGGACCCAGCTGTCGAGTCCTCCTTTAGCCGTTTACATTTTGCTGCCGATGATGTTGTTGATTATTGTGGCTGTCGTCGATGTCGAGGTTGTTGCTGCTTCTGCAGTTGCTGTTGCTGTTGCTGTTGCTGCTGCTGTTGCTGTTGTTGTGATTGCTGTTAATGAACTTTTCTCGGGCTTCACTTAGTTTGCTCATAATTGCAATCCATTGGTTTCCAAATTGAAGCTGCCTGGAAATACGCGAAAAAAATGGCGGATTGAGTAAATGAAATGCAATTTGCCGTTGCAGTCTTTATATAAACTGGAAAATCAATGAGAATAAAATGAGCTGTACGAAGATTTCATGCAACTGTCAAACGCAAACAACTCAAGTTTAATTCACACATTCGACAGTTGGTTTGGATAAAGTTCTTTGCAAATGAAGGGTATTTAAGCATTCGATTCGGAATTGTCTGTTGATGGGCTGCTTAATGGAATTGCTAAAGTTATTTGAAGAGCGCAAGCGCAAGTACATAATTTCATTAAGCAAACCGCACACACAAATTAATTAAATTAAAATTTTAAATTAGTTAAAAATTCTGATAGAATCGACGCATACTCTCTCTCTCGCTCTCACAGTGCTTCGCTTGTTTTTGTTTCACTTGGCTGGCAGCGTTTTCATGCACGTTTAAGCACTCACCCACGCACAATCGCATAGGAAACAGTTAAGCACATGCACACACATGTACACCCACACACCCAAGCACACACACACACACACAGATGCGAATTTTCAGAGAAATGCGATGCTCTGCATAATTTGTGGCGCGAATTCGGGCCGCGAGGCGTTGGTGGCTGGCAGTTCCGGTTCGTGCCTTCTTTTGTTGCTATAAAAACCGGATTGCCATAAAATTGATTGCGCCTAAATAAACATTTTGTATATAATTTTGTTGTTGTTACCGGTGTGTGGGTGGGGGACGGGAGGGTTGGTGGATGCGTGTACTTTTCTCTGAACTCTTTGACTTTATTTATATTCGTTGCGCTTCGATTGCTTTGCATTTCAATGCTCAGCACCAATCAGGAGTCGTAGGGTATTCTACTTTTAGTAACAATCATGTTTGTAAAAAATAAAAAATCTTATAAGGCAATTTCAGGTATTGTCCGTAAATATAGACAAAATATGAAATTTTTTTCCTTATACCTTAGACCTGTGCAATTTTTAGGATATATTCAAGTCATCTACATTCTTCTGATATAGTTTTACAACCGCCACCTTGAACTTTAAGGACAAAGTTCATACGGATTTTTTGTCTATTCATAGATCTGGAGCTACCACCAGCTCAGCCTTCTCTGTTTGCTTCTGCCTACTTCATGCTTGATTACCTGCGAAACGCATTCGTGCGGCAATATTTCAATTCATCAGCAATGGCGCCAATCTAAACTTTCATTAAGATATTAAATTTGGTCCTCTTATCGTCTGAAATCAGTGGCCCGATGGCCTCAATCCTCATTGCCAGCCATAGCCATACTCATTCGATTGCCCGGAAATGATTGATCGCTGCTTTGGATTGCCCAAAAAGGGCCTAAATAAATAATCTACAACCGCCCCAGGCGCATTGTGGCACATTGAGCATTTCCCTGATTATAGACGCTTTGTAAATTTTGTCTTCCGGCACAGTGGGGTTGACCGCTCAAAGGTTAAGCGATATGCATGTTAAACTGCTGTCTAAATGGGATTGCTAATTGTTGGAGCTGTGCAGATTTTATGATTCGCAATTAATTTAATAATGCCTCAAATGTGAATTTGAGTTTACCACTTTGGTCAATTAAGTTGGCGAGCTCTCATTGGAAAATTTTATTTTCTAATGAGTAAACAGAGTGAAAACGTAAACTGCTTGAATTGGATTTGACTCTGATTTCATATCATTCTCAAATGATTATGGCTTGATATGAGAAGAGCAAGACGAGAATGACAGCAAAATTCAGTTTACAGCAGAGTTGCGATATTTTCGACATAGCTGGACGGACCAGCTGCTTGTAGAGTGAGCGGTAACCCTTAAGCCCTTTTAAATACAGCCACCATTTTAATGACTGGCAATGTGAGGCCGTGGGCAAAGGCCAAGGGGCGTTTGCTGTAGTCACGAGCATCTAGTCAAAATGGAAAAGTAAAAGCGTTTTCAAGAGCAAAATAGCTTTTAATTTTATGTGATTTTACGAGGAACATAATAAGCGCGTAACTAGCGGACTGCATTGGGCCAAGGAAAAGTAGCAGGAGTCGGAGCAGGAGCAGGAGCAGGAGCAGGAGCGATAAACAACATTGACGGCGCGTTCTAGCACGCTGATATAAATAAACATATTAAAAACATTCAAGGATGCGAGCAATAAAAGCGAAAAATAATAAAAAGAAAAAACAAATACACAGAAAGCAGCTTGATAGGTGATGTAGATAGAGGGTGCGATGTGGCTAACTGGGCTGGCCTCCATCATTTTTAGTGTACTTGCTATACATACATACATATATATGTATATTTTGAGCCCACTCTCGCCACACTCACATATACTTATGCACACCTCATCGGCGTTTGGGAAACTCTCATCTCGCTCATCTAGCCGTCATATTCGCTTTCATTTATTTTTATTTAACTCAATTTTTTGCTGCTGCCTCTATTTCTTCTCAATGTTTCTTGATATTTGTGCGTTTGCGTAGGGTGTCCTTTCTTAAGGGCATTATTAGTAAGGCGCACCTACATCAACTCATACAACCACCCACACACACACACACACACACACACAGATTCCAGCAAATACTTGCTTGTATCCATACAAATAGTAAGATATGCGTGCGGATTTACTCTTGCTCGACGGCTTTCGGCCTCGCTGGCGTATACATAATATTGTTGGCAAACGGCAGCTTCCTTGAAAATTTATAACCACTTGTTCTCCCGCTTATTTACATACATATTGACTGACACACACACACACACACGCACACACAGCAAGCGGCAGTTAGCGTGCGTGTGAGTGTATGCTGGTCTATCTGGAGCATCTTTAATACGCACACATATACATATGCATTGAGGCCTCGCATACCCGGCTCGGCTCTCTCAGCTCGGCGGCATCTTTACAGCTAACAATGTGCGGTAAGTGGTGACCGGTGCCGGGAAAGCATCTGCCACTCATAGCCACACTTATCAAGTGCCTGTTAGGTGTCTCTCCGCGCTGCCAAGAGCGAGAGTCTCTGTGCGCGTGTGTGTTTTATTTACCATATGCCCTGAATGCCTCAAGAATATGAGTGGTTTTCGTAAGCACTTTAACTTTCAGTCCAACATCTTGAAGGCCCTTCTGATAGTTTATCAAGCTAAATAATACACACATGTCCAAGCTCACAGCCTATAGCTAGGCAAATTCCGTATGCTAGAGCCTATTATGCTTGAAATAATGTAGATTATATAATAATATTCAAGCTTATATTATTTGTCTTTCATTTCTATATTTATATTATTTATTTTATTAGTAATATTTATGTATTTAAGAGTATGTGAATTTATAATTTGTTAATTTGATTACCAGGTCTTTTTTAGACTCACAATGTAAATGAGGGGCAAAAGAAGGCATGGGAGGCCCATAGGGCTTATATATATTCAAGATTCGCTAAAGACATCGACCCTGTGAACCACAAAAGTTAGAGAATTGCTTGATTCAGGGTATCTCCTAGCTGAGTCACCCCAACTAGAGCACTTTTAGTTCTTCTTCTTTTTTTCGCTATTCAAATTTGCAGGCATTGACAGCAGGTGTATTAACTCAATTACGCGGTTGCTCTAGTTACCCCAGACAAATGATTCAAGTCGTGGATGCTGTTGCATAAATTGTTTTATGTTGTTTTGATGGGCAAAGGCACAGGGAACAGGTTGCTAGGCAGCGGTGTGCTAATTGAACTCAGCTTGAAGCATTTGCCAACTTGATCCCTAAGGTCAGTCTAAGGCGCGGCAGCTAAGGCGTAGATGGTGAAACCTCCATCTCTTTATATTTCATTGGAGTAAAATAAATAAATTCATTAGAAAATGCTGCACCTGAAGTATTTATCAACATTGGCAAGTAAACAACCAATTCAGCTCGGTTTTTATTTACAGCTCTTTATGCGAGCTTTACGAATCTCGAAAGGAATTGCCGAATGGTTGCTCTCTAGCTCAGAGTTGAATTGCGTTGGAGCTGCTGTGCTGCTTCCTTTACTAATTTCAATTTAAATTGTGGCAAGAGCAAACTTTGGGTATTTGGATAAAGCCACTGTCGTTGCCCGCATTCGTTTGTTGATTGTGGAGCATTGACTGAGGTTTTGGTTTGGGTTTGAGTTTCTGGGTGCAGAGGTTTCCTACACCAACCTAGAGCTAGATTGTAATTTATGGAAAGCTGAATAATGAACTCCTGGCAATTCGACTTCCAATTGCCTTTGCCTAAACAAATTCTAGTTGGAATTTATGAAAAGAAATAGTTATTTTACGCTGGGGAATAGAAAATTCTTGGAGGCCAATCTATTGAAATCAGAATAAATTAAACTGAGACTTATATAAAGTTGAATGGTTTTCATTAATAACAATATAAATTTGTATTTGTTGCATAAAATCGAATTGATTTTTGCCTTTATATACTATATGCCTTATAGGTCAACATTGTGTTGACCTGCACTGATATTGTTTTGATTGCATGTGCCTTTTGTTGCGCATGCAAAAATTATATAAAGGAAACCCAAAATGTTTTACAGCCACAGGCACAGCCAGCCAGACTCTTGACACTGTGGACTGCAATAAGTATACGCCGCGTGATTTGCTTTTTCTCGATAACCAACAGAAGCCCCAGTATGTGTGTATGTGTGTGTGTGTGTTGGGGGTGTGTGCTTGTGTGCAGTGAATGCAGCATCGCACAAAGTTTCACTCGTTCTTTGTGTTTTTTTTTCTTGTTTTTTCTTTTTTTGTGTTACTCTTTTTTCCATCACGCCTGCTCCGCCTACACTTGGCGACAAAAATCTCTTGCGCAACACACGCAAAGCGAAGGATTTTCAATGGTTCAGTTGTTTGTTGTTGTTGTTGCTGCTGTTGTTGTTGGTGCTGCCTTAACTGCTTGTTGTTTATTACCGTTCCAGCTGTTGGCCATGTTATGTTGATGTCTTACTCTATGCGTGTGTGTGTGTGAGTGCTTTTTTGCGAGTGTGTGTGTGTGTGTTTAGGCTTTGAGTGAAAACAACGTCCTCGTCTTTTTGTTTGTGCACAAATTAGTGGCAAGCAAAGCAAAGACTCAATATGAACTTGAATCTGTTGGCGCAATTTCCGTACATATGTATGAACACATACATTACACACACACACACATGCAAATATGAAACTTTTCCATTCTACATAAGAGTACTCATATTCGTACGTACATACAGACTAATCTTTGATTTTGTTGCCAATGTGCCGTTGATTGTTGTAATTGTATTCAAAAAGTTTTGTGTCGTTATTGTAGTTGTTAAAGTTGTGTTGCTACTGTTGTTGATGTTGCTGCCAGTTGATTTACTTATTGTTGTTGTTATTGGCCTTCGAGTAATTCGATTTTGTGCTTGTGCTTGCGCTTGGGCTATTTGATTGCCTTAAATGTCAATTGACTATAATGACTTTTCTGTTGACCTTGCTTTCAATCAGAACTAATAAGACACAAGCCATTTTCATCCTATGAAAAGGCGTATTTTGTTTACCTCATAAAGTATATAATATACGCAAATAGCTAACATTATATTCTTATGCGCATACGTGCTTCAATCTAACTCAAAATAGTTGTAGCAATTGATTTGAGCAAATGATATGAAACAAACTCTGAACTATAATTTAGGATGTATGAATAAATTAGTTCATATTATATGATAGTCAATCAAAATTAATAAACTATTTTGATTTTTTCTCTCTTAGATTATTACATTGAACATAATTTTTGGAGCAACTTTATAAATAATAAATTAATAAATTTTCAATTTTAAATAAATATGTTTTATTATTTTTAACATACAATAGAGAGCTTAATGCTGTTAAAGCTTCAAAGCATTGTAAATCATGTGACATTATTTATAAAGCAATTTATGGTGTAACAGCTTTAACTGAAATTTATTTCCTTGCCGCAATGCTAAGTAATTAAATTTCCCAAAGCACTGATGGAAAATTTTTTAAAATAATTTACATTACATTATTTGCGCAAATTTATGCAGATTTTTGTTGAAGCACTTGCAAACATCACCCACACACATAAATAAGAGCACATACATACATACATATATATACACACAAACAGTCGCACTTTCAGGCCCATTCATCATTAAAATTCTGCCAAAAATATAGAAAATAAAAATAAAATATAAAGGAAGTGAGAGAGAGCGAGGGAGAGAAAGAGAGAGAGAGAGAGAGAGATTTAAAGAACTAGAGGGGCAAGCAGCTAAGTAGGGGCTAGAGTGAAGGAGTAAGAGAGGGAACGCGAGTGTGGAGAGAAAATGAGAGCGAGAGAAACAGAGTGAGTCAAAGAGAAAGAAAAACAGCAGAGATGAGACTCAACCAGCGGCTAGCAGAAAAATATTCCAGTAAAAAATCTGCGCATAATGTCACATTTTCTATACCAAACAGTATATATATAAATATATATACATATACATGCATAAATATATGTAAGTATGTACATTTATGCATATAGAAATGTTTATGAATTCTGTCCGCTGCTTGAAGGAGAATCTCAGACATTTTAATGAAAAACACTTGCGGGTATAGAACTTTCTGCTGGTACAAGTGCACGCATATATAAATATATATGTAGATATATGTGTGTATATACATAATAAATATATTTGTAAGTACGTATGTATATATACTAATACACCTGCATTGAAATCGGCGTTGGGCACACGTTTTATGCGCGGCAAGAATCAGAGCTAAAAGCAATTTGCATATTCGAGCAAACGAAAATTCTGAGCGCTTTCCACTTAACATTTTTATTCGCATTTTATTTGATTTACGCTGAGCTCAAAGTCTTCTTTACCTGAGCGCTGAGCGCTTGGCGCTGTATCGCTTACCCCACTTGGAGACGTTCGAGCGT